TTGAGTAAGTTTAATTCGACATAAACATATATTCTACAATAGTGCTTGAGTAAGTTTAATTCGACATAAACATATATTCTACAATAGTGCTTGAGTAAGTTTAATTCACATAAAACGTATATTCTACAATAGTGCTTGAGTAAGTTTAATTCGACATAAACATATATTCTACAATAGTGCTTGAGTAAGCTTAATTCGACATAAACATATATTCTATAATAGCGCTTGAAGCAAACCACTAGAGTTTCTGAGTTCTCTAAGTAATACTCTGTTCTTTCTTTAATGTTGTTTTCACTATTACTATCGTTTAAGATTTTTATTTTTTATTAATATATTTTTATTATCACTGTTAGGTTTAACATATGGATATAATACTATCCGATATCTCCTAAATTGGCCAAACTTCAAGAGATATTACTGGCATTATTGCTTTGTGATCATTGTATTTTAGTTCTTATCTCTGTAGGTAGCTTGTTAATAACAAAAAGTAATATTAATACACTAATTCATAAACTAAGAATGTGTTTCAGTATAGCTTAAATGTTGCGTGCTATATCGTCATAAAACGGCGCTATGCACAGCTCTGAATATAACAACTGGATTATTCGATTTAGAGTCATCTTAAGCTAAATCATTATTCATGTTAAATTCCCTAATTCCCAGTTCAAAAAGTAGCAAAGTTGCTGAACCAGATCTTTATGTATTTTTGTTAAAACAGGCAACGTTTTCCATGGCTTGAATAAACAGTATTACATGCTCACTTTAAAAATACAGTTTTGTTTACTCGTACGGTTAAATGACTGTACTTATGTGTATTAATTATTTCTTGTAGCTTAATGCATGGCGATTTGGTAATTTGAACTAATCGTAAGGATTTTAATTTCGTCATAAATTTTATCGGGCTTTGATTGGCTGCAATGAAATTGAATGCTTGAATCGTTACACTTTTGTTGTTGTAATTTAAATTATCTTTTACATTTGTGTATAGCTATTGCTTATTGTCTTTTGGATGCTTACGTTATATGTATGGAAATAACTACCAATCACTGTTCTTATGTTACAAACATAAGTGTTTCTATTACTTATACTCAACAGGGATCTTTCAAGTCCTCATTGCGCAGGTCCCCAAGAAGACGTTCATCTACAAAAAAGAAACTGAAAAAAGAGGTAAGATATAATTATCTATATTATTATTAATATTAACGGCAGATCTTTCATGGCTACCGAATATGTTTAATTTTTGATAGTCCAAGTAAGCCCTCGTGTCCTGTATTATTAAATCTAATTTAATATGTTTTGTCTGTAACTATTATATTACGATATACTACTACATGTGGAATTCAATTCATTAAATATTGATTTATAATCCTTCTGATTAATATGACACTCCTAACTTAGATTGCATTCGGTCTTTATTACAAGTTGCTGTTTTCTGCAACGCATACACCTACATATAAGCATAGCCACTGCATCCGAAATATTAGATCATTGTATGGAATAATTTTACAAGTGATATCGATTCATTTATAGTTCTTAGCTATAGCGTGATACCTAATTTACAAAACAAATCCATTTTGATTTCATTCAAGTGATAGCGCAGGGTATTTCTACCTAGTGCTCAGGCTTTACTTTATCAGCCCCGACGTGTTGCTTTGTAGTATAAAAGGGTTGAATGTTTAGGCGTGATATGCCACAAAATAAGCTTACGGCTCGTGTTGAACATGATAATGCTTATTCACGTATTTGACGTAGCAAGAGAGATGTCGCACGTTAACACCTTTGACGCCAACACGTTTACAGCCACTCGAAGCGAAACCTGTGCTGTGCAGTCATTGTTACATCAACTGATGAATTGCCGTTTTGAACCGGATTAAAGTTTAAGTAAAATGATAACGTTATGAAAACATTTTCATCACCGTCACTGATATGTTATTGTTTATATATGAACGATACATTGAATTCACACACACACAAAATACAATTATATAAATTATAAAAAATATGCACCAGGCTTTAGAACGGATTTTTTGTACACTGCCAAACGAACTGAGGAACAAGAGATAACTATAACGCTTGTGGTAAACAGAAGAATTAATCTATTACAACTTACTCCTGGTTCCATTTAAATGGAACTTCTAGCCGAAATTGCCTTCTTTGAGAAAGTATAAGTTTATTTTGTTTTTAAAAAATCATAGTTGTAAATTCGCCTTACATTACTAAACCGTACTAAAGTAACCGATCTTTGAAAATCTTGCATGGATTTGAACTCTTAAAGACTAACACCATTGGATGTAAATATAAACAGTATCTTATCGTCAAAATAACCCAGTCACCTAACTCTCTAAACTTGAACTGTATCTGAACGCAAGAAATTACTAACGGACAAATACATACTTCTGTGCAACCCTATATATTATATATGTATTGTAAGTCTGTGCTACAGGAAAGTGCATCACAGAAAGGAGTTTTCTCTATCTTAGAATCCAATTTAATTATTGCTATTATAATATTTTACCTAATATTTCACACTCCTTGATAAGCTATCATTGACCCCAATGCGACAACAATTTTGCAAAGTTTTACTAATTAATTAGTTGAAAGAAATAATGATAAGGTATTTATAATATAGAATAAAATGTCATATTCTAAAACTAAAATAGTTTACTTATCCTGACCATTGATTATTTTTCGAACCGCCTTATCATATTCGTTCAAATTTGGTATGACATTTGAGAAACAATTCAGGTGGTCTTGTAAAAAATCTTAGTCATGTAGTGTACACTTAATTCACTCTTAACAAAGGAAAATTGTAATGTCATATTTGTGACTTGGTTAAACCACTCTTATAACATAATGTCAGTCACCCCCATCATTTCATTTTTATTATTTTTAGGCAAATCAGAAATTTGTTAGACCATTATGCAATCTGAAATGGAAATGATTGGTCATTCATCCAAAGCTCATACATGAACAGTTGATAAATATGGTTTTACATCTTTTAAGTTCATGTAATTAGCTTCAGTATGGAATAAGGTTACCACAGATTATAAGAGCAGCCTGCTACCAATGTTATATGTTTAAAATCAGAACATGGATAAAATATCACCTAATACTCTTGTGAAAAAGCTGTTTTCAATGTGTTTTTAGTGTATGGAAACATTGGATAATGATTGATGTGTTTCTCAACATTGAATTCTAATAGGGGTGGGTGTGAATACCACTTCATTGCATCAGTCTCATCCTCTTCAAGGATATATTGAGCAGTTTAGCACTGTCAAGATGGATTTTACCACCTATTAGACTCAAGTCCTGGATTTTAAACACACATCTATTTGTGGGTCTAGGGCTCTGTTTGATATCCCTAATATATATGAGTCCCACAAAGAGTATAAGAAAAATATTGTAAAAAATACTGTTAATCCCATTAATAACTGTAAGGGATCATCTGTGTATTTTACATAGAAAATAACTGATTTCCACCCAGCATTTTTGGTGAGTTCTTTCCAGGAGTGTTGTAACAGGGAAAAACAAAAATTACTCAATATGGTGTAACATGTGAACTCCACAATTCAGTCCGTGCTTTTGCATGAACAATTGATAGATATGGTGAATGGTACTGGATTGAAAACTTTATGGACAGCAGATGTAGCTAATAAAAGTTACAATGAAGTACAATAATATCTGGCTGAACTTATTTTAAACAAGAAACAAGTTTGAGGGTTAAGCAATCAGGATTAATAGAGGTTGTAAACACTGTAAAAGTCTTACATGGGTTTAGGAGAAAAGTTAGTGGGAATGGGAGTTAGATACAGCTTTTTATAAATTGAATTAGCAGGTATGCGTGTGATTCATTACTAGTATGTTTGAGTGAGTAATATTATTAGTGCTGTATATGTTTGATAATGAGTAAGTCTGTCTAATCTAATTTTCAGTTGATGTTTTGCCTGTTGTGATGTTTCCAGTTTTTAACAATTATTTATATTATTTTATCAAATATCTCCTATCGCATAGAATTATAACTTTAATTTATTTGAAGTTTTACTCATTAATACCCCAATTTTATTTGTCATAGCTTTAACATAGCACTATTTTGTAGTGTATGTGTTCTTTAACAGTTAATCTGTCTTACACTTCTTGAAAACTGGTTGTCATTTTCTGGAAAAGGGGTATTATAAGATTAATTTTTACTTCTGTAACAATATTTTTATGAACTGGCATCAACCATTCCTGCCACAACTGCTTTAAAACAACTACTTGTTTTTTTATGACAACACCAGTAACAATATAAAAGTGAATTTTGAAGTTCAATGCTCAAAATGAACATAATTTTTTAATGTCCAGATTCATACTTATTTTTAAATGTTTGGGCATTTATAAAGCTTTTTATGTTTTCAGGGTGATAAGGAACAAACAAAAACATTTGCAATTAAACCCATCCCATCTGCCACATCTAAGCCACTACTAGTTTTTTTAAACCCAAAGAGTGGTGGCAACCAAGGTGCTAAGCTGATGCAGAAGTTTCAATGGTTGTTGAACCCTCGACAAGTGTTTGATCTAACTCAAGGAGGACCATCTCCTGGGTTTGTCATCTTTCTTAACACTATTGTATTTATATATATATATCTATGTTGAAAAGGCATTATGAAAAAACAAAAAAAACACCTCTAGGTTATCTTACTTTAATGTAAGTAAACATTCAAACTTATTAAATTGCCTCTGTTACCTGTTATTTGTCAAATAAAATAAAGATTTTTTATAATGAATAAAATTAATATACGATTTTCAAATTAATTTATGAAGTTAAAACGGCAATGTTAATTTTCAACTTATTGATAACTAGCAGAGTATCCAGTGTTGCTCAAATGAAAATGGCTTTAAATATACTGAGTTGTTTTGATTAAATCAACCATATTAATTATTATTTTTTTGCCAAAAAAATCAAAATTAATTGATTACCTAACTAAATGTTTTGATTATTTGTAATGGACATGTGGGCAGCCTGTGGGCTTAGTCATTGGGTTCAACTTAACACTCGTAACAAAGACATTTAAATGCATTTTGGATCGTGCTTTCACAAGTGGAGCACACAAGCCACCAACTCGAGGAAGTTTACATTTGGAATAAAGAACTCACACAGAAATAACTGAATACAAATCAAATAACTTCTTTATTTATAAACTGTTGAACAGTTCATTTGTATCAAAACTATCAAGGTTATCTTGAAACAACACTAACTCTTAGTCATTTAATTATTCACTTTGAAAGTCTAGATGTTCATTAGTAAAACCTCCTATGATGTTCAATAACATAGACATATCATTAGTTATCAATTAAGTTAACATGAGAAATTTTCTCGGTCATAATCAGTATAACTGCATTAACAATTCTTCTAAGATATCTTTCAGTAATTCCACTATAAGCATTATCAAATTTACTATTTCTTTAGTACCTGTTAGTATTCTTTACTTTTCTTTCTTTGTGCATTATGCATTATTGAACCTTAAGTGAAACATTGTTAGACTAGATCAGAAGTAGCATACTTAAAAAGAGTTTGTGTGGCAATTACTGGATTACTGCCATCTTCTTCTGAATTTGGATCAGGTCCACAGAGTAACTTGATAAGTGTGGAGAAATCAATGTTTGGAGTTATAAACATGGAATTATATATACACAATTTTTAGTGTTCTTCCGATTGTTCGAGAAGTTTAGCAGATCTACATTCAGAAGTTGTTGTTTTAACTCAATTGGTACAAATGGGATCTTCCAGCAAGAAATGGACTATTCCATCAGATTGTAACCAAAATCCACTTTGTTATTGGTCCTTACAGAACTATTTCTGTCTCTTATCTAATATCTTTGGCAAAATCATCCAAGACAATTAACTTAGGGCATATAGAGAAAAACCATGTAACTCCAGTCTCTTCACTACGAGTATTTCACCCTTGTGTTTCATCGCAGTCCCATTAAATGCTTTTTTTATGACATCGGTTCATTTCATTGCGTGTTTTATCTAACTGTTGGGGTTTTATCAAAGTACCATGTCTGTCTGGCACGAGAATTGGTAGCTGTAAATTCTTGCACCTCTAAGGTCACGACTGGAATGTCCCAGGCTAATTCCTGTGATGGGCTTCAAGCCTGTATGTTCCTTATTTGGTATTGTGGTTCACTAGTTTTTCTTCTTATAACATTTTTGATCTGCTGCTTTCTCCATACTATACATTATATACATTCAAAAAATAAAACCTTTAAATAAGTATATACTTAGTATTTGTATTCCACAAATGCTTCATAATACAGTCAATAGAAATAACAATGTCTGAAAATAATAAAAATTTGCTAAAGCTAGTTTAATCAAAGCAAAACCGGGTACATTACTCCTGCATCTTTCATGTGCTTTGTATGACATTTCAAGTTTCCAAAACAAAATTCCCTATCTTTAGGTGCTCTGATTTCTGTTGTGTGGTCAAGTGTCATTTATAGCATATTCTGACTTTATTATTGTTCCATTCGAATGAAGAATTGATTTATTCTCTTGTCATTGCAACATAAGTGGACATTTATCCAATACCAAAACGTTTTTGTAAAGTCATCGTATAGCTGATTCTTGTAAGTACACGCAAGCAAAACAAAAGAAATGGTTGAAAAATATGAAGCTGATAAGTTTCCACATGTGGTAATGATCATTGTGATAGCAATTTTCTGAACCCATGCATTGTTCATTCCAACACGTTTTCTGTGAGAGGAAATACATTCTCTCACAACATTCAGCAGAAAAGTCCACCTACCTTCCTGTTGATGCAGTAATACACATATCCAAATAAAGTGGATAAGAATTTTATGTTTTCTGTGTGGAGGGTTATGGAGGTTTATGTGTTTTATGATAAATGGTTTCAACATATATTGTTTTCCAGTCTAGAGCTTTACAGAAAGGTACCTAACCTGAGAGTATTGGCTTGTGGGGGTGATGGCACAGCTGGCTGGGTGTTGTCCACATTAGACGAAATTGGTATCTCACCTCCTCCTCCCGTTTCTGTTTTACCCTTAGGTACAGGAAATGATCTAGCCAGAGCTTTAGGGTGGGGTGGAGTAAGTATACTTCTGTCTATTGAGTCAACAGAGTCTATTTTATTTTCTGACATAACCACTACTTTTAATGTTTTGTTTTTGAGATTAATGGATTTCATACTTCATTCTTGTGTTTGGTTAGGATTATTTATTAAATTATGCATCACTATTTGTTTGTAAACTGAGAATATTGTAAACTTACATCAACTAACATAAAATGTTTAAATGCCATCATCAAAAAAAGGCTAAGATATTACCCATTTGTGGTGAGATTATGTTGTTGTCAAATTTAATTTTTATATAATTATAAAGTTCTACATCCACTTGTGTTGATAAGAAGTTCTTTTGACTGTAAGATATGCTTCTAGTCGTGATTCTAAATAAAGAAACATTTACATACCACACACACCTGTACATGTATGATATTCTTATATCTGGAAATATTCACCTCAAACCATACAAAATGTAGATTCATTAACTTATTTTAATTCTTATAGTCTAGTATATGAATAATCTGATGGTGATACTTATTTTAGTTTGTTGATTTTCTGATGCATTCTCACTCTGTATAATTATTTCAGGGCTACACAGATGAACCAGTATCCAAGATCCTTTCTAACGTTCAGGCTGGGGATATAGTTCAGTTAGACAGGTGAGAAATCTGTGTATATGTTAGATAAAGCATAATGACAAAAAGTCATAGTCTTTTGAGCTCACTTTTAATTTCCAAAAAACAGAAACTAACCAACTAACTAACTGATACTAACCAAACATTCCAAATGTAACTTTTTTGTAAAGATTCTATTTATTTATCTGACCAAGACAATTCAGTGTACTAGTACACACCATATCATTAGGCAAACTGTTTCACAATTTCACAATTCTAATAGAGAAATAAATCTGTAAAGGAACATGCCAATGTAATGGTTTCTAAAGCTTATATTTATTACTTCTAGTATTTAAGCTACCCACAGATATAAAAAAATAAAACTTTCAACATTTACATGTAGTTTATCCAAGTATATAATAATCTTGAAAACCTGAATCATATCCTGTTTAGTTCTTCTAGAAAAAATATAAGAACAATTTAATCCTCTCAACATAAATCAGGTGTTTCAAGTTAAATTTTTGGTAGCTTTCTTTTTTTCTGTAATCTTTAGTCAACAGAATAGAAATAGAAAAATAAATGTTAAAATCATAATTTAAAAAGTTTTTTTTTGTATATAATAACTCAACAAATTCATAGCTTCATTCATATTGGGTTTAAAATAACATGTTCTACATAAGGAGCATCATCATATTAGATATTACTAGTAAGTAGTCACTAGATTGGTTTTAAAACGTACTCAAAAAATAAAGATTATCAATAATTTAGGTTAATGACAGACCTAGGTGAGGAAGCATAATCAATTCATTGTGATACTAAGCTCAGAAAAATAACCATCATTATGACAAACTATAATTCTAGAACCAAATTTAGGTCAGCCTGATAACTAGCTTATCTTGGATTAGACTATTATCTGATGAGCTTAATGTCACACCTAGGTTATGGTAATGATTTAAAAGTATGTGCTCAGGGTCCATCCATTGGATGAATCCCATATTAAAGAAGAAATGTTTACTATAATTATGAATTAACTACGTGTATCTACACAAAATGTGTCAAGCTTTTAGTAGAATGTACAATTCTGTTGTACATAAAAAATCAGATGTGTTACAAACGTATTTATACTCAAGATATTTCTGTGAATTAATGACATCAGCTGAAGCAGAGTGCAAGATGACGTTCGTGTGAAGAATAAAATCCATTTTTTAGTTTACAACTTGCATTTGAATAACCTCTAGAACCTCCAAAATGCATATCTACAGTTTTTTTTTCAGTATCCCTACATAATGTATATAGTATTTACTCTCCTCTGCCATGAACTGTCGCTAAGTTAGCAATGTAGGTTAAAATGAATCGTTAATAACTCTGACATCAGATACATAATACCATGTTGAATGACACCATAAAAGGTTGTGGAATGCACACTTTGATCTCCTCCCTGTTTGCACACAGGATTAATTAAGTTTGACAATGGACTTTAAATTCTGACTACTACCTGATTAGCTTAATGACAGTCTTAAGTATATGACCATCATTATGCAGTGAACTTAATGATAGCCCCAGGTGTGAGATCTTTATCTGACAAGCTTGATGACAGAATTAGGTGTGTGACTGTTATTTGATAAAGTCATAACAGACCTAGATGAGTGACTTTTTTTATCTGATGAACTTCATGAAAGACCTTGGTGTATGACTATCATCATACACAAGCTTCATAACAAACTTAGGTGTGTGACTCTTTATCTGATGAGCTCAATGACCGACTTAGTTGTGTGACTGTTACTTGATAGACGTTATGACAGAATTAGTTGTGTGACTATTATCTGACAAGTCTAATGACAAACTTAGGTGTGTGAATATTACCTGATGAACTTTATGACAGACTGAGGTATATGACTATTATCTGATAGACTTCATGACGGATCTGAGTATATGATAATTACCTGTGGAGCTTGATGATTGACAGTAAGAATTGCTTTAGTTTAACAAGAAGCAGACTGCTGTGTTTCTTTTTTGCCTACCATGATACATGGTGCAACCAAAGAATTGCATTGATTTTTCTTTTCATATGGATAGACTCAATTTGTTTCATGTTTCTGTTTATAAATTCCCTCCAGTTTATGTTTGAGGCAGATAATGGAAAATATTCTATTGCATACAGTATTCAAGTTACAGATACATAAATAGATGTTCCTAAAATGGCCTCTGTTAAGCATAGAACAGTTATTGTGTAATTTTTTAAAATATTATAGATGTGTAATATTTTAAAAACTTTTGTATATATATAACATAAAAAGTTAATTCCCTCATTGATTAACTACATACAATCTAATGAGAAGATTTCCTTTGTCATATTTTTAGATGTAAAGTTTGATCATCACAGGATGTAAAAGTATTTTAGTGAGGAAGTGTTTTTTTTTTTAGGGGGGGGGGTGCAAATTTATTCTCTTTTATGGGTACATTTAACATACTTTTTATGTTGTTACAGGTGGGATCTTCACATAAAAAAAAATCCTGATGTAGATCTTTCTACTTGTGAAGAAGGCAAAGAAAATCTTCCTTTAAATGTAATTAATAATTACTTCTCTCTTGGGGTGGATGCTCACATTGCCCTTGAGTTTCATGAAGCCAGGGGTGAGTTAACTCAGTTTTTAACTTTTGTTGTGGTTGTTAATTAAAAATATTCTCATAAAAACTTTTAGATCAGGTTAAGCCTCAAAATTAATATTGCACTGTCCATGTTACCTACTACTGTTAAAAATATAAGAATGTGATAATCTTTAACCTTCCATTTCACACTTTTCTGTTAAACTGTAACATCCAGATGGCAAAATTATTAACTATGCATAAATTGTTCTCAACATAGTTCTTTCAAAGATTTTATTCTGAATTGGAAAATCTTTCTTCATTGTTTTAGTAATTTTTAAAATTGTATTTATTGTTTGTATAAGATCAGAACACCTTAATGGTAACTTAAATTGCTTTATAGAGTTGTGAATATTACTTTTGAAAAATAATGCGAACTTTTATCACAATAACTTTTACATTATTGTGATGACTGTAAATAGTCATGCTGTAAATATATTTTTCAATAGAAAACTAAAGGAAAAAACTTGTTTAAGTATTAAATAAATGTCATATAAAAAAACTGTACTACTTATATCTTTCTTTAGTTCGTTTTATGCTATAAAGATTCCCATAAACCTGTTAAGTTATTTTTATTGACAATAATTTTTATATTTAAATATAATTAAAAAATTGTTATTGCAGTAAATAAAGTGTTAACTCAATTAATCTAAGTTAAAATAAACTCAATTTATATTAGACTTACATGCATTATTGTGAAAGACTGGCCTTTTTTTTTATATGACTTGTTTATGAGAACATAAATAAGATAACTTTGATCTTTTATCTAATACTTATTATCACAGAAGGAATGTACAATGATAATATTTTCTCCAAACTTTAGAAGCACATCCAGAAAAGTTCAACAGTCGTCTAAAGAATAAGATGTTTTATGGACAAGCTGGAGGAAAGGATTTGTTGCAAAGAAAATGGAGAGATCTTTGCAATTTTGTTACACTTGAGGTACTTGGAAACTGGATTCATTGCTAATTGTTTTTAGAATTGTATAAAATAGTTTTTATTCATAAAAACTGAAATACTTAGAAATATCACTTTCAATACAGAAAGCAAAACTGTATTCAATTCTTATGTCTTACTAATCTTATTTAAGTCTTGAGTGTTAATATTTCTTACATTTGTTTGAAAGCTCACTTAATCAAAAGAATTCTGACTGAAAAGATTATCAGCTTAACATACCAGAATAATTTTTTGCATGTGTTCTATAATATTTTATCAATATGATTTGTAACATAGATATATTTTGTCAGTGTTTAGTAGCTGTTTATCAATCAGTAACAGTGAGATTAACTTTTAAAAGTTAAAAAATACATTTAGCTTTCATTTGTAGTTAAAGTTGATCATTGTAAATTTTCTATAGCCTTATTCAAGATTAATTTTAAATATGTTTTTATTCTGTGTTGTCTTTCCATTCTGGGAATATTTTTAATATTTTATTTATTTATTTACATTTTTCACATAAATGGAAGTTTATTATTACACTTTTTTTCATGTATAAAGCTTAAAAAGTGTAACAAAATCTTCCATTTTCAGAGACTTCTTACTTTGTGTCTTTATTTTTTATTAACTATGTTTAGTGTGATGGTCAAGATATGACACCCAGATTGAAAGAGCTACGTATTCATGCTATTCTCTTTCTTAATATTCCAAGGTAAAATTTCTTATTTCTTGTTTATCAGTTAATTTACTGTAATATTTATTTTTATTTTATGATTTCCAAAATATCTACATTGTAATCTTTCTAATTCACTTTTATCATTATTTTTAGTTGTTTATGCCTAAAAAACAAAAATTAATTAAGAGCTCAGTTCTGTAAGACTAATATTTTGCACAAAAATAAGAAATATTTCCTTAATTTTTGTTACATATAAACAGCTATGGAGGTGGAACAAGACCTTGGTCATACCCAGGAGCAGGTTTTGAACATCAGAGAACAGATGATGGAATAATAGAAGTGATTGGTTTAACCACTTATCAGTTGGTAAGAGAATTATGACACTTGTACGAAGAAAAGGTTCATTACTTAGTTTTTGAGAATTATTTGAAAGGCCATAGCAAAGAAATCAAAATAATTGATGGGAATAATCATATTAAACACAAAAAAAGGAGGAAAAAAATTTCTCTTTTACTTGAATAAATGAAGAAAAAAGAAACAAGTTTTCCAAAATAATTTTTACCAATTGAAATGTAGCAGAAGAACAATATTAAAATTTCTAAATAAATCATTTCAAAACACAAAAGTTAAGATGGTATTTCTTATTTGAAATTTACATATTTTTTTCTCTCTTTCATATTTAACTATAAACTTGGCCTTAGTATTCAAAACATACTTCCTTTATATACTAGGCCCATATAATTGTCTATCAGACTAGCAGTCATATGTGATCATATTATAATTAACTTTATTTATATTTTTCTACTTTAGAAATTACTTCTTTGTTTTCTAGCAGATTCAACATACTATCTCTAAAAGCTAGGATAATTTCTACTACATTTTTTATAGTTTATAATTTTTTTGTTTTACTGTTTTTTTTCTGTTACTTTTCATATGGTGAGTTTATTTTTTTATTTCATACATTGATATTTTCTGGACAATCAGCTGCCAAGAGTTTTTTGTGTGTAAGTTGATTTCACTCAACAGTAAGCTTTCCTGAAAACTGTCTTTCAAAGCAATATCTATTTATTGTTTTAGATGTAAATGTTAAGATGTTTAAATCATGTAAAACTGTTTTAGAAAGAAGTGTGTTTATATTGCTTTAAACGACTTGAATACTACATCCTTTAAAATATACTATATAAACATTTTGAAAGATATGTGGTTATTATTTTATCATTGTTGAACTATAAATCCTGTAATATCAACAAATATCAAGTACTAATATATATATATATGTGTGTGTGTGTGTATGTATATATTAATATATATATATATATTTTTTGCATTAAAATATTTTTCAAATAACACTATATGGCTAAATTGTATTGAATTACTTTGCAGCCATTACTACAAGCAGGTGGTCATGGCACTTGTCTTGCCCAGTGTCGAGCAGCACGGATGGTCACCAATCGTACAATTCCTGTGCAGGTGGATGGGGAACCATGCAAACTCTTGCCATCAGTTATTGAACTTCAACTTCGCAACAAGGCAAACATGGTTGCTCGGGCTAGGGTGAGAAATCATTTCATTTTATGCATTTTTAATGCTAAGTGCCACCACAACTGTCCAAGTGTGATGTTATTTAATAATGGGATGGAAGGTGAATAAGGTCCATTTTCTTATAAAGAAATGTTTGTATTTGATCACAACTTGAAGTCGGAACTGTGTAAAAAATAGTATTACTCAGGAGACCTTCTTCTTGACCATTACTGATCAGTTAATCCAGACCAGTCAAAATTCTATTTCTTAAATTCTTATGCATACAAATTGTGTTGTTGCATTAATAAATACTTAATTTGGGAGACCATAACAAAAAGTGATGTTACATTATATCTGAATGGAAGATACTGTGATTCTAAAAATCTTATATAACTGCTTAGAGAAGGAATAATTTATTGTTATATTTGGGTTTTGATTGATTTTTGGTATTGTAACTAAAGTAATTGCTACTGTTACATTGAATAATGATTTAGTCCTAGGTCCTTCATCAACATTATTTTTTTTTTCATTTACACCAACTTAAACAATTGCTTTTTTTTCTGTTTTATCAATAACTTATAATAGAAAATAAAAAAAATGTTTCAGTCTACTAATCCTCTTAAAATAAAAGTACCTGCATTCAGGCCTGTCCTGGCTTTCACTACATCACTACATGAAAATTACTGTTGCTTGATTTCAAGTGTAGTTCTTGTTTTTTATTATGATGAAAATTGTTCTTAACTGAAACAATTACAGTCCAACATTTTATTTATGTGGCTTGACTTATGTTAAAATTGATCAGCTTTGAATGATAGAAGTAACAATTTATTCTAGTGTGAAAAATTATTATTAATGCAGATTAAAATATAAACTGATTTTTTGCCTAAGCGTATGTTTTTTAAACCTCTGTGGAGAGTGTTAATATTTTAGTGATAGGTTGAATAATATGATTTTACATATCAGTGTTTTTTTTGTGTTTTTTTTCAGAGACAAGGTGTGGTGCAGTCCATGTAAGTATAATACATTTAGGATTTGTTTTTAATTCATAAGTATTTAACTATTGACATAGAGGAGAGCTTGCAATCTGTCCAAAGTGACTAGTGCAGCCAGATCAAATAAAATATATATTTATACAGAGTATAAAAATAAAAGTTATTAGTGCATGAAAATACATTATTTTTCAACTGATAAATTCATTGCACACATATGAAAAGACTCTTTGTGTACAAGTTATTCTAAAGGCTACTTTGGTAACTCACAAGTGGCTCTATACAATTGTTATAACCTGTATGATTAGCTGTGAATGTATTTCACAATTTCTTTAGGTCTTTATTTCATTTTGATCAGTTTCAATTTGATTCATGTCCATACACTAGGATTACCAAATTTCCAGAGTAATAAAGTGGGACAACTTTTTTTTTCATACATAGTGACTCTGTAACAGACCTAAAACTGTTTAAATTACAATGCAGAATTTATTGTATTCCAAATCACCTGATATTTGCATCACATATTAAAAACATAGACAAACAAAATTTGTTAAAAGCTTACCTTGTTGAAAATATGAATAAATAAAATACAAAACATGCTTAAGTTGTCTTGAATGTACTCAAAAGAAAAATGTTGCTTTTTCATTTTCTCTCTCTTTTTTTTTTTTCTTTTTTTTTCTAGATGGTTAGGCCTTCAAATTTTAATTCCTCTGGCTGCTCAATGAAAGATTAAGTTAAGAAAGCATAGCAAAGAGAGAGAGAGAGAGGGAACACTGTAGTGTGTGATTTGTCTTTGTCAAGTGATTCTCATAATAAAATTTAAAGACAGACCATACATATCAAACTCACACTGAAATGTATAGAATCTAGAATGTTTTAATACTTTTAGTTACCGATCAGGACAGAAAAATTAAGGCTGAAAACTGGGACAGTCTCAGTTGTCTGAGACATCTGGTAACCCATGCTATACACCTATAAAAAAAATAGAACATACTAATATTTTTTTGGTGTTTTTGTTTAGTCTAATTTGTACAGTATATGTTAGCATTAATAAGAAGACTAAATATATATTTCAAAAATTATTAAAATAAACTTCAGCTTCTATGTTTTAACCATTTTCATTTATTTACTGATAATTATTCTTATAATGATTGTTACTTTGAACTTATCACAACATATTTCAAAAAATGCAAGATACAGTCTTGGTAATCTAACGGATTTTTACTTATTTTGTTTATGTGTTCTCTCTTTCTTTGTGTTTAAATGCAACTGGAGGATTTTTTTTCAGTTATTAAGATGTTTTTATAAAAATTTGAAACTAACAAGAGAAAACAATGTTTCATCTACAAATTACTAATACTTGTTATAGTTTTAAGTGATTCTTGATCAGCTAGGGTACCCACTAGTTAAATAATATGTTCTAATCTTTATCAGAAACAATGTAAGAAAATATAATAGTCATTACCAGTACCAAGTTGAATTTTAGTTTCACTCTAAATAATTACCTTGCTGTGATCAGAAATTAATATTAATGATTAGTTTAAACTTCATGTAGAACATTTGTAAAGATTTTTTATTCTAAAAGCACTAATTATAATTTAAAAGTAGTTCATTCTGTAGCTCTTAATTATTTCTAGCCATAAAGCTATTTATAAATATTACATTACATACAAGTAGTTTTCTATGGTGGGGGTATGACATCACCTCATACATGCATCTGTATATGAACAAGCAAACTGAAACTTTGCCAGACCATCTGTTTGTATATTTTTTAGATCAATTTTAACACAGAATTGGTTTGAATGCTGTATACATTTGATACATTTACATACAGAGCCTCTCTTGTAATTTTGTTTACTTCAAGAATAATTAACTTTGCATGATTCTGGTTTTTGTTGGGGAATCCGAAGTTGTTAAGTTCTTGAAGAGATTAAATTATGGCTGTACTTCTTTCTTAATAGAGTGAGTTATGTAAAACTACTTTACATGCAATATATCAAAATATTTTGTATGCAGAATGATCATTTGTCTTGTACAGATTGTTAGTTTATTTCTGATTGTTCTTACCTTCAGCACTGTGTAAATGACCGAAGCAGCAAATATTGTATTGACTCTAACTGATACACAATCAACTAAAAGAATTATTGGTTTTGATATTTATGTCCTGTCATCTCAAATTTTCAGCAAAATTATTTTCTGGTTTTCGCAGAACCAAGTGTTTTTACAGTAAAATAAACATTATTTTACAAACTGAATATTAATTTCTTGGGAACAATTTTAAATGTATAACCATTTTCTGAGGTGAATCGATTATTACTATTTAGGCCAACTGTAGAAAAATTAACCACAGAAGTCAAGAAGCTGAATATGATTGACTATGAAACCTATCATTATGATAAAGAGAAGCTTCGAGAAGTGTGTAAGTAGAACACATAATATTAACTCTATGAATGAACTTTTATTTTGTGCAAGTAAAGAGTAGGAATATTTTGAAAATAGTCATAATAAATAGTGTATAACCTTGGGTTTTTAGTTTGCCATAATATATAATAAAACTAGCTTTCTATGAGGAGAAATAGTCCCAAAATGAAACTTAATGTACTTATAGTTATAGAAACAACTGGCATACAAGTACTCAATGAATTTAAAAATTATTCAGAGGACTTGAATAAAGAATTTTTGTGTACATTCATTAACCTGAATATATGAATCATGCATCTTTGTAAAGTAACTTCTATCTATGGATATACACTTCATATTAATTGATATCTTATCAGCAATGCCACTTGGATCTCTCTGTGTTGATCGTGACAGTGATTTGGAACAAGTACGTTATCACATTAATCAGCTTCTAGAGGTGAGAGAAAAAAAGAATGATTTTCATACACTGAAAGTATACTTTTGTATCTTTGACTGTTTTTTTCAAACAATTATACTAACATTACCAAAAGTTGTTAAACCTAAATTATCACTGACTAAGATAGTTTATGGAATGGGTGAAAATATTGGTATTGAATAAAAATTTTACATTCCTTAATATACTTGTGAACAATAATTTCAAATATAAATGTAAACTTTGAATAGAGAATTTAGAGGTTATTATTAAAAATAGATGTGTCACAATCAATTCCAATTTTCAGTCTTGCAGTTAAGGATGAAATATATTGTGCTACATATATCAGTTTTTAACAATAAGGAACTGTTTAATAATATTGTAAGCAATGAGTGAAATTTTTTTCTAAGATATTTTGTGTAAAATATAGCATTCTTGTGTTGGCCAAGAAGATTTAATTTCTAGGCTTAAGAATGGGAAAATAGTGTATGATATTGTATAATAAAGCTTCTAAAAGTTAGAATATACAACTATCCAAATCAAAAAATACCTGTACAGCTTGTTTTGTAGTTTGATTTTTTTTCATCACATTTTTACAAACAGGACAAATTCAGTGATCCTGTATCTCCTGACATTCCCTCACAAGACTGGTGTTTTCTTGACTGTAAGTAGTCATATATCTCATATTTAGTGTGATAAATTGTGTTGCTATAAGTAATTGTGTATTTTGTATTTACTATGATTAGTTGCATTATAGAACGTATAGTGGGCAGAAACTTAACAAGTTCTTCAAACAGGCATTTTCTAGTACGTAAGTGTTTTGTAACCTGTGCTATCTGTATGATCGGCATTACTGTTTAAGTTTATTATTTCATATTATTAATGTTTAAAGATTTTTTTTTATTGTGAGGACCTTTGTCCCATATATATATATATAGGTTTACAGGTTGTATAATATTTTACAGTCCACTGGAGATGTGACTTATTTTATTACCACAACTACCAAATTTGATATACTGTAACAAAACTTGAAAAATGTATTTGTTTTAGATTATACACAATTTGGTTATAAAAGTAGTGAAAACTTTTTATAAAGGTGAAAAACGTTTTCAAAAATAGGCTTTACTTCTCGCGCCAATAATGAAGATACTACAAACATTTTGTTTATTTGAGCCTCATGAAAATAATATAAATAGTATATTTTAGGTTACTTTACACATGCATTTTGCATCGATTACACAAGATACATTTTTTCTTCAGCATGTACTGCTGAAAGATTCTTTCGGATTGACCATGCTCAAGAACATCTGCATTATGTATCTGACATTTCTTGTGATGACTTGTTTATTCTCGACCCAGAAGCTTACTCTGCTATAGACTTGAGCAGCCGAGTCGTGACTGAGTGCCTTCAAAATAACTGTCCTAACATAGTAGTTGCAGTTAAAGCTTGTGATGAAGATACTGATGCAGTAGTGAGGAATTCAGTTAGCAAGGCACTTAATCCAAGGTTGGAATTACCGTACAGCTTTTCATAATTTATAGAAATCTATCATAATGTGTACTTTGACCTTAATGTATAATTTTACGAGATATGAAAATTTAGATACATTCCACATTGTTAGTTGTTTTGTATTTTCATAAAAACAATGTAATTTAAGTTATTAGAGTTGGTAAAATTCCAACACTTTCTTGTGTGTTTCTAATAATGCTAAATAGATTAATAGTGATCTTGTCTAATTTTTTTGCAATGTTTAAAAGTAGCTTACTTGAGTTTCAACATGCATTCTTACAGGTTTTATGTGTTAAACACTTACAGCTTTTAGTAAATCAGTGAAATTATGGAAAATTTTACGATACTGTGTTTGAGTTCTGAACTGTTGTGTTCAGTGAGTATTCAACCTGTTCATCAAAAGCTTGTCATTTTGTTTGTTTATCTTGTTTTCTCCTTTTTTAGAAATGTTACAAAAGGATTAGCAGAAGGTGAGTTTCAAAAATACAGAGTTTTGTTTTTCTGATGTAGAAAAAGTCATAAAAATGATCAATAGTACTTCTTGTATTGATCTCCAAAATATATTATTTATTTAAAACCTAACCTGCAAAATTTCACAGGTATGAAAAATTCTAATGGGAAAATAATATATACCACTTTTGATGATAATTTTTCATTCAACCCGGTTACACACAGATATTTATTTCACATTTAAGACTAAAAGAAATTTGTTTGTTCTAATATTATAAATGGTTGGTGATTTTATTATATCATTACTTTAATTTATGTACAGTTTTTAATAATATGGAAAGTTTTGGTCAATATATACAATAAATCTTTTGACCTGTGTATTTTAATTCATCTAATGAACGGTGATGAAGAAACCTTCATGAACGCTAGGTAACTAGTGCATGCTGATTTATTAGTTTAATTTTAAACTGCACAAGCTGCCACAAAAATAATCAATTCCTCGAAATTAGTGATTCTAATTTACTGCTATTTTCAATTATTCCAATTATCCAAGTCTCATGTGAGAATAGTTGATTAATGAGCCAGACGATTAACCACTAAACAAATTCTGCTAATTGCCCAACTCTGTTCTGGAAGTTAATATTCATTCTAAAGGAATCATATTATTCATCAAACTATCACATTACGTCTGTAATTTTGCACTGTTAGAGTAAGATAAACATAATCAAGTACGTTTATTGTTGTACTCATTAATACAAGAAATGATAGTATGCAACTCGTCAGACCACATTTATTGCTTCCAGTCATTCATTGCCTTAATTGGGATCTCTAACCAATACTGAAGCCCAATTATACTGTTTATATTTAAAATAAACAGATTTTGTGCTGTTTGTTAGCTGCCATTTGACAGCTTGTAACCTTCTTCACATAAAATGGTTGGAAATAGTTGACTTCTAACTTCTTTTGAAGAAATTAATTAGTTAAAACACATTCTGTCTTTTGTTGCACTTTATAGACCTGTCCAATTAATTTTCATTTCTCTTGTTCAGTAACCAGGATCGGTGACCAGTTTTTTCTAATGGCAATCATAGTCTCTTTCAATTACCACTCTTATGACAGATATTTTTGAACATCTTGTAAAGAATGATTCACCTGCAAGATGAACATTCACTTTGATCCCTTTTCTTACCCATTACCTGGCAGACTAACCATGATATGCCTACATCTCTGTAGCAATAGGGCTCAAATAAGCAGTGGAAGATCGCATAATCAATCTAACTTGCATATGTAAATAAATTAATGGTGCTACAAATCTGTATATAGTCCTAATTAAATAGCTCGTCAGTGTATAACAAATGCTTCTGACAATAGTGTTCGTGATTATGTAAAATAAAATAAACTTGAAACATCTATTTCTCAACATCATAGCAAGTAATTAAAAATGTGTTATTTTTACTTATTTCAGACATACTTTCTGCTGTCAAAAATTTTGACCTTATGAAGGTGAGTTGTTGTATATTTACAAAAATGAAACAGAACATATTAAACAAAGGAAAGTTTGGGGAGTGGGCAATACTATTCCAAGTTTTAATTTAATAATATGTTTTAGTAATTCGTGGATGAGATTTAAAGGGTAAAATTTTTATTATGTATACCTTTAAATACTTAACAACAGGATGTATTTTAATTATCCTATTTCTGTTGGACAGTAATTGAATTATTAATGTTAAATTTACATATAAATGAAACATAATTAATCACAAAGAAACTTTAAATACATATTTCTTACTTTAATCAAGTTAATGCTTAAAAAACTTTTCATGAAGCCATCCTATGTTTTGTCATTAATTTATTTTTCTTTAACTGTGCATTTTTTATATAATATATTCATTCTGAGCAAAAATCTAATTATACATATTAAAGCTTTGTCAGTAGATTACCATGGATTAAACCACATTTCAATGTAAAGTTGCTCTTCGTGAAGACGTCTTCCTAAAATAACTACCACTATCAGAAGTGACACTATTCAATAGCATCTATCAGAATATCTTAATGTTTTAATCACTGATAAAAAACAAGGTTATAATAGACTTTTAAAGATGATATTTGTATGCATGAATTATAGTTCTAAATAGTTCGTGATGGAAAATGTATTGTTAGATTCTAGAACAACAAATATGCCTATATTTTCAGACTTACATTGAGTTCAACAAAATGTTTCAATCTTCATTTTGCACTAAGGTTTAATGCATGTGTTTCACAGAATACTTTTTATGTTGTTTTATTGAGTTGGGATGTTACAAAATGCAAAGAGATTCCCACTGTCAGAATATGTTACTTAGTAAAACTATAGCATTATGTAGAATTTGATAGGTCTTCCTAACTTTCTAAATTGAGACATGATTAATTTTATCGTGATTCTATTATTTTATTTTGGTTCCCAAGAATTTTGAAGTGATATATATATCTGTACATCCCAATAAGAATTAGTACTCCCCAATTATAACTATCATACTCCTTTTCAAATGTAGACGGTTTTTATATCTGCATGTAAAATTTTCTGCAGTAACTTACTCCAGAGTCTTGTAAAAGAAGTTAACCAGCCTTGCAAGGATAATCTCTAGATCAGTGGTTCCCAAACTTTTTTTCACCAATGACACCCTAACCCACTTATATTGATTTGTGCAACACCTTGGCTGCCACCTGCAATATTATTTTTGTAAAATTTTTGTATTTGCTTAATTATTCTTCATTTGGGGAAACTATTACTACATCCATAGCAACTTGCCATGACACACTAGTGTGTTACAACACACAGTTTGGAAACCACTGTTCTAGGTTATAGACATGTGTTTATTCTGAAGAAAGCTCATCTGAGTGTGTAATCCTTAATCTTCTGAACTTTGAACTTTTGCAGAAGATACCTGCATAGGAGTCAGCTCCTTGGGTGCTTGAGCACCCCCTAACATTTATTGATGCAAGCACTGCTGAGCACCCTGAAACTGCGCAAGAAATACGCCAGCACCCCCAATAATTTGGAAAAGTTAGCACTAATGGGTGTCTGACCATTTAGTATAGCAGGCACCTTGGATAGTTTTCAGTGCAGGACTCAGCTGTAAACTGTGTACATTATAAGATAAAGTCAATTTCTAGGGAGAAGGATAGAGTGGCTGTTAGCTTTGTGTTTATGAATATTACTAATTGTGTGGATGTAAGTTTATGTAACTATGTGTGTAGAATTTCTTATACTGGTATTAATCAAACTTGATTTAATAATAGTCCATGGGTCTTCATGGAAATCAAGGAAAGTAGACTATGTTATCTTATTGCTTCATTGTTGTTTTATGTAAATAAATACTTGTTGTCGTTTTGTTTTTTCATTTTAAGTACTTTTCTAATTAAGTCTCTTCCTGCCCTACTGAGGATGCTTCCCAGAGTTGTCTCTTCTAAAAGATTCAAATTCAAGATTTATTTGAAAGAGATGTGGTAGAAATGGCATAATGAGTTATAAACATCTAGGGCTTGAGAAGTACTACCAAATCTATACAGTTTGTGACAGCAATTTTTTCAAGATTAAAAACATACTTATTTAAGCAATGAAATGAGGTTTTGTTTAACATACACGTAATTCATTGCTTTATTGAACTTTAGAGAATACTTTATTTTAGTAGGATGATTTATTTCTTGTATGATACTCAGTAGAATAATTATAGACAAGTACTCTTTTTCTTTTACTGTAATTATTTTCAGCTGAAGGAGTTACATCAGAGTGGCTACAGTCTTCAGACTGTAGATGAAAAAGGAATGACTGCATTACATTATGCTGCTCAACTGGGACTGAGAGATATTGTGAGTTATTTAATTGCCTCAGGTGAGTCAGTTTAGAGCAGTTCAGTCTTTCATTATTGTATCAACTGATGTGCAAAATGTTTTTACCATTTTCTTTGAACAATTTTATGCATTTGTAACAGTTGATAAGAGTGGTCTTTTCAGTAGACCTTAATCTCATGTTATGTGTATGGCAGCCTCAGATAATTATGTGCTGTTTGCATATATAAAGACCATACTGTTCCAAAATCAAGAAATGTTTTTGTAATAGTAATATTGTGATGTTCTTTAAGTGTTTTTTTCACAATTAAACCAGATTCCAGGACCCGTACGTGTAAATATACATATTGAAAATGGAAAAGGGACAGTGTGAAAAGATATCAGTGAAGGAAAAACAAGCTTGGCTTAGGAGTTTTTTAAAAAAAACTCCAACTTTAATTAAATTTATACAGTCCACAATCACAAGAATAGTACGTATTTACAACCAATTGTCCCAAATTTCACTATATTGCAGCTCTGTTGTGTTAAACAGTTTCCAAGCAGTTCCTGCATTATAATTAATAGATGGAAATCTGTTTATTGTAGATTAGTCCTGACCTATATGTACTGTTTAATATTAACTCTAAACACTCTATCATGATTTGACTAACGTAGGATGAATATACCTTTGTTTTGATATTTCTAAACTATCACATCCTTAATTTGAGTTTATACTTACTACCAGAAGAATGTCCATTGCAAACTTATTTGAAGTAGATAAGAAAAAACAAAGAACGAAAAACGTTACTAGAAATGTGCAATAGCTGAGAAATGGAAACACAGATGAGGTCAAAAAGCTTATTTGGTGTTGGTGTCATCTTGGAGAGCAATTTACTAAACAGGGGAGAACTGAACCTAATCACAGCTCACATCAGTACTTCATAACTTGCAAAATAAAAGAATGAAAAGATAACATAACTTGACAGAACTCCTTGGATATTTATACATCAAAAATTTCTAACCAAAATGCTTATGAAATGTTTATGCTCAGAAAATTGTAGCTTAATTGCAATAAAGGTGACAAAAATTCTGATGCATGAGCAAAACTGTCATAGCAATTCATAAACAGAGCAAATGAGGCAAAAGTTTGGCCGTTGTTCATTGTTACTGGGTTATCTTATTGTTTTCCAGTGCAATTCACACTTCCTGGTTGCTTTAAGGTTAACCTCCAGTACAGCTAACTATAACAAATAACTTTTTTTTTCCTTCTCTCCTAATTGTACATAATGGTTACAGGTGAAAAACATGTGAAGACATTAGTAACTTAAATATATGTATTTTGGATGTTAATTTAAATCAAAGGAAAAACACAGTAATTTAAAATCTCAATTAATTTTTCTTTAGTGTGAGGAATCTATAATATCTCACTCAACTTTATTAATTTAAATATTTCACCAGCAAGGTGTGGGTTGTTGGGTGACGTCATAAAATCTCTCACACACACGCCGTTTCCAATGTCAGATAATTCAGATTTACAACTTATTGTTTGGATCTTAGTCTTAACTTAATGTTTATGTTAAAAACTAATTTTTATCAACACTTTGTTACAAATTAACACACACTTCCATTTCACAATTAAACCAGATTCCAGGACCCGTACGTGTAAATATACATATTGAAAATGGAAAAGGGACAGTGTGAAAAGATGTCAGTGAAGGAAAAACAAGGTGTGGGTTGTTGGGTGACATCATAAAATCTCTCATACACACACATCGTTTCCAATGTCAGATAATTCAGATTTACAACTTATTGTTTGGATCTTAGTCTTAACTTAATGTTTATGTTAAAAACTAATTTTTATCAACACTTTGTTACAAATTAACACACACTTCCATTTCTTTTAGCTCATAATCTCAGAATTACTGACTTGTTTTTATATTGTTCAATTCAGCGTAAATAATGACTAAAATATTTGAAAAAAAGTTGCTCATTTTCCTGGTAAAATGCATAGAAGATCCAAGCATGTATTACTCAAACTAATTACAGTATTGATGGTATTTTTGATTTATTTATTTTTTTGTCTAATCCATATGTTATTATAAATTTTGTTATAAATTACTTAGAAAAATGTGTTTAAAAAAAGTGATACCATCCCATTGATAATTCCAGAACTAAAAGATAATACTTTCTTCTAATAATGTAATTATAGTTGAACTAAATGAAATATACTATCTTTAATGCTACTTATTTTAATGTATATTTAGCTTTACATTTCATGGTTGGTGAGATACAGGTCAACATAATATTAAGATGACAGCAAATCCTCAATAATTATAACACACTATCAAAGGAACTACGCACGTGTAAAGAATGAATTCACAAAGCCTTAACTATCAATCAAAAACATTTTTATGTCTCAATTTACATCAGAGTAATACTACTAGAATTTGTAATGCTGTTTAAAAATTTTATCTGCATCTCTTAAAGGAAAAATCCTCATTTACTATCTGCAACTAGAAAAATAAATCACAAATTGTATATATACGAGATTCTCTCATAGTACAGAAAATAGAACAAATCCTAAAACTGACTTATTGAAATTAGTTGGCAGACTAGAGATAAAAAGCTTATAACTTCTATTAAGAACAGGCAGACTTATTTAAATGATTTAGGAAATTTTGAGCATTTTTTTCCAATCCCTATCTTAAAAAGTGATTTCAACATATTGCTCTTTCACTGTCAGAAAATATTTTAAAAGAGCTTCATAGATTCATTAGATTAAGCTAAATTGGCAAGCTAGAAGTAAGTATTTTTATCTACATATCAGTATCTACTATCAACTTTATTTTAAAAATCTAAATTTTTTAGAGCAACTTCTTTTCAGCTGACAAAGAAGGAAATAATTAACAAATAAATGCAAGCTAATCTTTACATTTGATTAAATAACTTGTGTTACAATACTGCAACATATGTTTAAATGTCTTCATTCAGCTCTCTCTAATTTCTACATCAGCTGGCCTTGGATATATTGGAGCTCAAATGTTCAGTTATTGCATGAAACACAATATGAAAACAAATCTAATCACATATGCATCATAACTTTTATATTATGATTTTACAAATCTAATAGACACAGGTGAGTAAATTGACCAATGTTCAAAATAAGTGTTTTCTGGTTGTTGGAGGCAACCAAAACTATCACCTGTCAACTCAGATGCACTACTATGTTTTCTGTAGGACAACTGCAACATGGCCTGTTCCTATAGCAGTCTAGGCACATTTCCCATATTGACTTGTTCAGAGTATTATATAGATTTTTGCTGAGTCTTGATCCTTAAGACTACACACACTGTTTACCAATAAGAGTGTTTGTTATAATGTCTTGCAAATCTGTCACAATTAATGACCAGTAACAGATCACCAGTCAAAATAATTTACTAACACCACATTTGTTTCCATCATATACATCTTGCGTATTTTGGTTCATGAGATTTAGATACTATTTTTGATGTAAGTTATGGATCCGGAATGACTAATCAGACTTTGTTTTTTTGCTTTAACTTTTTGTCAATGACTATTGATCAAGACAAAACAGGCACAAAGTTGTTGGTGCAAGTATGATGAAGGGAATGAGTTCATGTTCTGCTCATAAAGTTCCTTGATAAAATCATGATTTTCTATCAATTAATGAGCTTTCTAGTGTGATATTTAACTTAGGATAATATAACATCAAGTTTGTAATTTTTGTTAGTCAACTAACTTGTCCATATAAATGTGTACAATTGTAGTTTATTACGAATAGCCATAATTTGCCTGAAGATTGTCTGCTGAACAACGCAGCTGTAAGTCTTCTTTCAAACACTGTTAACTACTTTTTCAATCGTTGTAAATACAAAGGATTGTTCACAACTGAGTCCTCTTGTTGTAATTTCATTGAAATGTGGTGACTTGCAAATGCAGGTTGCACATAATATTGACCCCTTGTGGTAAGATTAAATTATAAAACTTCCTGATGCAAAGTTATCCTATTCCACTATCATAAAAAATGTAATGCGTGAAATTTAGGCATTATTTCAAAGAAAGAGATATCTGTCCTGTTCAACCATGTCAGGGCTTCAAGAAATTCAGTACATCCTGTTGGCGGTACAACATTTCAAAAATTGGGAAAGTTTTTGCAGTGGATTTATGATGATTATGTGTTACAGCCGTAATAGCAAATTAAACATCTGGGAATTTCCAGGTGATACCACCACCATACCATGAAAAAATACCATATTTGTATGGACTGGATGTTAATAAGGTATAGCTTCGTGTCCAAATCAACATACCAGTTTTTCTGCAAGACACAAGTGCAAATGAGAATGCTATATTTTTGCAAACGTACTAATTGAATTACAAGATGCACCTTTCTTTGACTTCTGTGCCTTTGGGTTTATCAAACAGACTCTTAGAAGTTGTCATCCTTGCATAGTTTATGAATTTCAAAAAGCAGATAAAGAGGAATGGGACAACATTGACCTCAGTGTCTTTCTTGTGCAAAAATTTCCTATGGTAGAAATGGTACTGCAGAGAAATGATCCATAATCAGGACCATTACATAAAACACTACTTTTGGTGGAAGAAATGGCTATAAGACCTAGGCCTTTTATTGTTTCCATACTTCTTGAACAATTATTTGTCTAAAGATAGTTCTTTATACCACATTATAAATAATTGATGTTGTTGAAAACATGTCTTGCATTATGAATACAATATGAATTTAGCAGTTTTTTACAGCAAAAAATGTACCTCATGTTGACTTGAAAATTGGAATTTTTTATTACACTTTTGCTTAACTTACCATATTTAGCCCAAAATAATATCCTTGTGACCATGATTGCATATAAATATGTGTTTCAAGTTCTCGCAGAGTTGTATAGCTCACTTGGGATATATTACATTATTTAAGGTTTAAATATATGTCTAGTGTCAGCTACAGGAATATTAATATCTAATAAAATGTTATTCTGCATGTCTCTAGGCCCTTCTTCCATGCTGGACATGGTAGACTATGAAAAGTAAGTATCAAATATTGTTTTGGTTTTTTTTAACAGCTCATTTAGTTTCCAAAATGGAAGTGGACTTTATATTTCACTCTTAATGATACAAGCTTTTTTTTTAACAACTTTTATTGTTTCAATAAAAAACTAGCTGGTAACAATTTTAGCTTTGTCTAGTATTTACCCAATTACGTCACTTTATAAAAAAATACTTAGATATTTCAATTTTCTTATTTTGTCTCGTATAACTTTACAGAAAACCTTGACTTTTTTGCATCTATTTATTTCTTACTTTATCATTTCTTTTTATTATTAAGTAACCTGCATAAATGTATAAAATGGAAAATAAGTTGTGATACTTTTTGTTATCTTGTATAATTATTCTTGTCTTGTGGTAATTATGGGGGTCACTTACAGGGGCCAGACAGCTCTCCACATGGCAGCAGTCAACAAACATCATGACATCTGTTGTATGTTAGTGTCAGCTGGTGCATCCCAATACAAGATGGAAAAGCAGGTGTTTATTTACAAACAGCTCCCATATTCTTCCTTCTCATTTACAGCCTTTTCTATGAGAATATTATTTAACATACACTGTAAACAGGCCTGCTTTAAGCATGTTCTAGGTCTGGTTCATCATTTGAAACAGAGTTAATGCATTAAGCCTCTCTTTTAGTAAAGTTCTAGTTGCAATGATAGAAGTGAAAATTGTAATTCCCTGAAAAACAATGTATGATTTTTTTTTTAATTACTCGAGTTCATCATATGCAAATAAACAACTAGACTAATCATGTAATGAAATTTTCTTCTGTCTACATGATGTCATTCCCAGGATATATGCCACAATCATAAGCAGAATGTACATACTTGTATACATGTGATAATTTCTCAAAATAAGAATAATCTTATAGAAATTAGAAATTATTTGCAGAAACATATTACCAAACACGTTTACAGTATGTTCATATAATTTTTCAGGTATTTTATAATGATTTTTTACATTAAAAACCACTATCTTTTGTGTGTTTTTTGTTTTATATTTCAAACACCCACCAAGTTTAAAAGTATTAGAAAAAGGCTTGTATTATAAGTTTGCTTTTTGACTGATTGTTGTTATGTTTAATAAGCATACTTGTTTTATTAAAACAGTTGAGCCTCACCTTTTAAGATAATTATAGTGAGTTTGGAACTTCAGTTGGTTTATTTTATTTTTTAAAAGGGAATGACCCCTAGTCAATTGGCAAGGAGTGTGGGTTATGAAGAATTAGCACTTTACCTTGACAGTAAGTAATTTGAGTATTCATATTTAAGATTCTGCACTTCATTTAAATTATCCATTGTAGTTAACCAAATATTTACAATGTGGAGCTGACTGATTCTATATACTTATGACATTGATCTGGAATTATCTCAGATGTTCTTCTTTTTGTAACTCTTTGATCAGTTTTGTTTCCTTAATTATTTTTTTTGCTATAAACTACTGACTACACTATAAACTCTTCAATCACTGCCACCATACATGGATGGTGTAACATAAGTTCAGTTCAGTTTTTGATATTTTTGTGAAATTAAAGTATATATATATATATATAATAAAATATGTTGGGTATCATGTGTTGTTTTGTTTGTTTTAGATTCTGAGAGCTTTTATTCACGAGCAGAGGAGAAAGAAACAGAAGTTTGAAAACTCTCACTGAAAGCCAGGTATAAATCCATTTGTCCTGACGGTACTTGAAATCCTAAATTTGGAACCACTGTTCTGCACACTACTGAGAGTGGTTTCTACAAAGTTCTCAATCCACTTGTGTGTTGGTGTTAGAGATCAGTTCTTGCTTAAAGTTGTAATTTGCAAGATAGAGGAATATTAAGTTTGTCTTAAATGATGGCATGTGGTAAACTGAATTTTGAAAACTTTAAAGACCACTTTACCTAACTTATTATGCTTAGTGTTTTCAATTATTGTTTACATGTAAGATCATGCACCTCTTCGCAAGTTTATAAATATTATCAATTTTTCACATATAATATTGTTTGTGGGTTCACAATTTATACTAAACATTTTTTAAGAATCCAGTTGTTCTAATTATACATGCAAATTTTTCCCTGAGATTAATCAATTCTAAGCATCCTTTTGAAGTATCGCCAGGTTATTGTTTTATTGGAATTTGAATATAAAATGGTGGAAGATTATCAATTGTTTTTCCAGTTATTTCTTAACTTTGAAGTAGCTTAAAAATAATATCAGTACATTAATTCTTGTTGTCTTTGAAAGTTTAAAACTGTTGTCAAGCCTTTCTGTGGTTTTGTTCAAAACATACTATAAATGTGATTTTTGGATTTTTTTTTAATATCTCTCTAGGGATAATTTTTTATTAAATCTTATGACAAAATATATTAATCATCATTGTGCATACGTATACCATCAAATAGTATTTACAAGAAATGTGGATCTTTTCTTGAATCTGTTGACATCTTTCTTTACACAGAAAGAAAAATTAACACTTAAATAGTTTAAAATTTCTAGTACAAAAATATTAGACTTAATTACCCAAAATATAAATTTTAGAAAAACTAATAGGGGTTGTGAAAATATTTGACATTTTTAATAATAATGGTACTGAATACTGGTTAAGGTTAAAAGTAAACATTTCCAGATAGATAACAGTATTTTTTGTTTTTTTTTAGTATTAATATCTTTATTTGATGCATTGCTGGTGATATTAAGTTAGATAAGATTCTATGACTAAAATAGTTCTTTGATGCATGCAAATACATTTGTCCTCAACATACATGAAGCTAGAATGCCTTCACTCCATAAAACTAGAATGGAGAACTAGGTAATGAAGGGAGCCTTTTCCTAAAACTAACTGTACCTATTTCCCTCAGTTTTCAAAGAAAAACAGATAATGACATTGGGCAAGTTTCAGTAGGAAAAAAATTTGAAACAATTAGAGATCCATATCATACTTATTTTCATGGTGAAAAAAATGGATTGGAATTATATGAAATAAGTATTGCTTTCCACATGCTTTAAATCACTGAAGAATTTAATCTTTTTGACTTTTAAGAATCTTGAGATGATCATTCATTTCTAGCTCTCATTCAATCTACCTGTCAAAGCCATTGCTGGCATTTGATGCATTCATATTTTCTAACCAATTTGATATTATTATAGACAAAAATGTGATAATGATCATAAAAATTTATATTAATTAAACATTTCCTAGAGTCTGTTCCAAAATGTAAGCAATTTTCTTCATCACCATTACAAAAAAAACTATATACACTTATATTTTATTATTGAGCACATAAGGTTTTGAATTCTTATAATTTGCTTCTATATTTAATAAAAAGAATACTATCTGTGAAAACATATTTATGTAATTGTAGCATTTATTTCTAAGCGCTGTCATTTAACCATTTAGGTATGGTTATAAAAGACCCACATTAAAAACATATTTCTATATATAGTAATGTCACTAACTCACAAGTTTTATAAATTAACAGTAACATTATAGTTAAAAATTGTAGAAATTCCTACATCACTGAGGTGGTCATAATATTAGGTTTGTTAGAAATGTAAAAAAAAAACATATTTTGTGCTTTTCAAAATCATAATAGTATATTCATACTTTTATTTATTTGTATGATTTCAAAGTACTACAGTACAGATTAATGTTAATCCATATTTTCTGATGTTTTGATAACAAAAAAGTCTGTAGATGGACTAGAGATATTTGCAGTGAATTTGTCATTAAAAATATCTATTGAATGTTTTATAGAAGAGAAAGAGTTGGTGAGGATTTTCTAAAACAATGAGGAGTACCTTATTAAAATGTAGTTTCTTCGAAACCATTGATGACAAAGTTTTTAAATGTTGTATATGGTATTTTTCCTATTCATGAGCAAGCTACTTAAACCATTGTAGATTGATCTCATGTATGAAACATTCCTTTTGTCACTAAACACAAAGATAATTCAATAGTTTACAAAAATCAGTTTATTAATTTTAGTTTGGTATGACAGAAATGTCTTAAAGATCCGTAGAAAATCCACACTCTGGAAAAACAGTAGATCTTCATCATTAATTTCATGTTATATAATCAGTGAAGGGCAGCTAAAATAATAGGAAAAGATTATAAAAAAGCATAAAATTTAGTTACATAATTGTCTGTCACAGTGTGATTTCAAAGTAGAAACTGAGGTTTGGAAAGGATAAAAAAAACAATCTGTGCTGTTATTTGTAATATTGAAAAATTCTACATGATGTTATACAATGATAGGTGAGATTTATTGTAGTAATTGATGTTATTTTATATAGGCCTGAAAAGTGTTGTAAAGAAAATTGGATAATTACATGGTTTAATGCTCAAGTTATTATTCAGGACTTGTAATAATATCAACAAACTTAACAGGTTCAAGAAGTGTTTGTTTGGCTGCTTTTGTATTTTAAAAAAGAGGTACCGTATACAAAGGGACCAATTTTTGTCACAGAAAACTATGTTCTTATATTCGTTGATGGTTCACTTTGTCTCATTTATTCAGTATGATACAGAGAATTTTTGTCTACTATAACCTGAAAGATCAAAATATTTCATACTCTGTTAAAACAAAAAAAGAAATAACATTGAACTATTAATCAACATTGAAAAATATTTGTACGTTATATTACTTTATCTGTATGAAAGTTAATTTTGGTCCATATTTTTATCATTATAACAAATGCTAATTTTATTTTATATTTTGAAACATCCACATCAAAATACTATAATACAAAATCTGTTTATCACGGTGTTAATTAATGTTAAAATTTTTATTATTACACCATGGGAATTCTAAATATCATATCTCTTTTAGGAGTTTATTAAATTACATCTTGGAAATTCTAAATGTTATCACTTTAATAGTAAGAGATTACAATCATTCTGATCAGGCAATTTATGATTGCTTTATTGAAGATTGTAAGTATCATCAATTTTAGACTACTTTCTCTCTTATCAGGTAATTAATAATATCATTATTTTTACAAAAGTAACAAAATATCATGGCACAAAAGTTACTAACACAAAATTTCTTTATTAATCTTAGTAATATTTTGTTAGCTTATTTCTTACTGGGCTTCTCTTAGCTGAAGAAAGTATAGGATATGGAAAAATATAAATAGTGTTTTTATGAAGAAATAATGTTTGTGCAAACATATATTTAGCTTCATCTGACAGAATTAGACTTATTTAACACTTTACAATTTTCTTTCTAACACATGTATTAGTGGATGTATTATTAATATTTGTGTGATTGGAATATTAAAGAAGAATGTGAAATCACTGTAAGTAATAAGTAAACAATTTATTAATATTTAAAATACATACAAGAAAATTAAAGTTTTTTGTAATTGAAAGTATACTTTAGCTTACCAATTTAGCTGTAGTGTTGATACAAATTTTTCTAGAATTTAGATTTTTCAGGTAGTACAGTATGTTTATAATTGGTACAGAATTAATTTCCAGTTGTGAGAAACTGATTTGTTTGTAATTATGAAAGCTGTATAGTGTGGTAATATTTTTATATTAAAGCTATGCACAGGTAGCTGTAGATATATGTTTTGTGTACCAAACTCTTACTTAATGGAAGCCATAGTAGTTAAAAAGCATTTATATCATTCACACAGATAATCTCATATTGAAATGTAGACTTTGAAAAACTTCAGTGGAAATAACTTGCAGCAAATGTTTATGTCACAGGAATGTTGGTGTTTTAGGCTCAAATATTTCGTTATTGTAAGGATAATTTTGACAGAATAGATAGTACTAACTGAATCTTCAATGGATTGCCTCTGCTTTGAGTCTTGTGGTAAATGGATTTTTGAGGGTGTGTACAGCACAATTTTGCAATAGAGCTCTAAAATGTTGAGTGGTGTTGTGACAAATAGTGTTTATGAAAGATGGTCATGCTGTGGAAGATGGCTGCCCATTGTTAGAGGCAGATTTTATAAAAATGCAACACAAAAAGTCGCATTGTCTTGATGAATGCCTCAGCAAAAAGACCGAAACATCATCCGTCACAAGATTTCAGGCAGATGCAGTCCACTTAAGATTATAAACAAGGATTTCATTTAAAGCTTATTAAATTCATTGAATAATTTAAAACCTTTTTAAATGCCACCCCAGTATTTTTATCTGTCTTTAAGCTTATTTCACAATTAAAATGTTCTTAAAATACCTTTGTAAACTTGAACTTGAATATTGATTGTGAAAAAATGGTACAGAGTGGGAAGAAATATGATTTAGGTATACAGAGCTGTTCAGAAGATACTTTGTATTTAGATATTTGGGTAGTGTTCTATCACTGACTCATAGAACATCTACTTCAAACAATACAAAGGGGAAAATTAACTTTTATGCATTTTATACAACATTTGTTTACAGTTATATATTCTTCTGTCTTTAAAGAACATTTCATGATCATTGCACTGTACAAATGGCATAATTCTAAAGGTAAATATCACACGTTTAAGTTAAGAGATTTTAATGATGTATATAAGTAAGACCTTACACTCTGAAGCATTTTACTCATATGGGCTCAGATAAAGGTTATTAGATAGTTTTGTTTCTTTTCATACGCTGTTTGATAGTGCAGAGTGCCTTTATTAAGTACCAGCTACGACAGGACTAATCACACATGGGTGTTTAAAGCTCTTTTTTTTTCGTATTAACAATTTTATTCCAGAACAATATGCGCCATTTTGCTTACACAAAGCTTATTTTCTGAAAGTTAACTAAAATATTTGTTCTTTAAAAGTAATTTTATTCTGCTGTCATACGATGCCTGTCTGATAATTGTAGCTACATTCTCTTGAGATATTGAAAATAGTTATTTAAATATATTCAAATAAATAAAGCTAAATTTACAAAATTAGTGTGTGTTATCAAGTTTCAATGAAGCTTCACAGTGTATTTTTAAGTACTAATACTTCTAATAAAAATACATCATTTAAAGTGTGTTGTCTGTCATATAAGCCATTGCTTATTTATAAAAAGAAGTTTAACTGATTTTTAACTATCTATATGTAATTAAGAAATTACAAAATTGTTGTTAAAAACCCAGATTATGTATGTACCTTGGTAAAGGAATGTTGCTCACCTGAAGATCATTTGATTCAGGTTAAGAAATTATTATTGTCTATGCACTTTTTCTTCTTAGTCATGCTCAAGTTTTTATGTAGTTTCCAATCCTAATCTCTTTTCACCTGGTTATTTACTTGCTATTTTTTGCCATCAATTGAATGTACTTAATAGATAATAATAATCACCTTTTTATACTGTACATAATATATAGTTAGAGACTTACTTCAGAAATGTCCTTAGGTGGTGCTGGAGGTAGCGTTTCAGATGCTTTTGAGAGTTTTGTAACACAGTAGTGGCAAAATGCTGTTACACTTAATAATATTACGTAGATTTTGCACAGAAAACTCCAGTATGGAGTATTTTTTACTATTAATTAGTAAAGGTTTGTTATCAAGTTTCCTATTTCCAGAAAAAGTTCTTCGAGTGCTGTGGCACTTGGAAAGACAATCAGATAATTCCCGATTTCGTGTTTCCTTTGTACAAAAGGCCCTTCAGCAGTTTACATTTTCTTGGATTATTTTATTATTGTATAAACTAGAATCCATTCCATTTTCTCCCTAGTGTGTAAGAGCAGTGCCACTCGTGATAGTTATATGCACTGTGCATTATTTTATCCAACATTCTGTTTGAAATTTTGAATAAAGTATATTTTCTTCATTTATTACTTTGTTGGTTTGGAGTTTTGTTAGACACATAAAAACTTTGTAAAGGGGCTACTGAGGAATGCTAATGGAAGGTTTTAAAAACCTAATAATCGTTAAGAAGAGCTTTCAAAGTCGTGTTCATATATACATGTATACATCGTTTCTTTTTTATAACTGTTTTGTATTAAATATATTAGGTCGTCAATAAATTAATGTCGCGTTTTAGAACACTTTCATTAACCACCCCACAAAAACGAACATCATGTATCATAGTTAAACGAACAGCCTAAACGTCACGTCAGTGTAGCCTATATAATGTGTAAAGTTTAGTATTGTTACGTCTCCGTTTGTTAATTAACTTTCCGTAACTTCGTTCCGACGAAACTTTA